TAACACTACTCAAGTTATAAATGCCACACTCAAGTTACTTATGTCAGATGAATAAAACTCTCTTGACCTTCAGAAAAAAGGTCGAGCCACAGGGTACGCCTGAAGGATTCAATGGAGAAATTAAAAGGTTGTATTTCAGATGCCTAAATTCATATTTTTCTAGGAGGTCTGAGGGAATGTTGGAAAAATGTAATGAACAAGTTACTGCAGTTTGTTAAACCTTCAATACAAAAACTAAACGATAATAATAGTAATTAAAAAAAAATCCCAAGTACTTATTCTGAAGTGGTTCTTTGGCCCCTTGTTCTTCACTTGTCTCATCTCCTCTCCTTTCATACTGTTCAACTGTTTGTACATGCATTACCACTGGTAGAATTGCGTTTGTAGAATTAGGCATTATCTGATAATAAAATACCTAAAATACCCAATACATTCAAAGTGTGAGTCAGTTACACAACATAAATACATTATTTCTTTACAAAACATATTAAAAGTAGTGAATCCTGCACTATAACGAAACTGTGGCTGATTAAAGGTCATACAAATGCAGAGCAGTCTTCAACGGTGCCCTGATGCTGTATGCTTTGAAGGGAAAACTGTGATAAAGAGCACTGGGATAATTCACAGTTTTCTAAACACATCAAGAGCTGAAAGTTGGGTTCAGTCCTGAAATATGTGTCTGGGTTCTTCATGAAATCCAAGCTTGTGGCGATTCCTAGTTATTATAACAAACCCAAATACCGGAAAAACACCCTTCTCTGAAATCCACTGACCTCTTAACCTCTGTGGCAACTTGTGACAAATTTCAGAAGCTAGTTTTGGTAAATAAAAAGGTTTTCTTCTAAAGGTTTTTCAACTAAAATTAGTTTTAAAACTATTATGCGTGAAACTATCATTCAAGATTGCAATCCCCTTAACTGCCCAAGATTTCAAAGACTCTTCGATTAGCAGTCTGAAATACACCAATTCCTAAAAGACATGGTAATCAAAACATGGGGTATTCTGCTCTGAAGTATTTGTCTCATGAGGAGGTGAATATCAGAACAGTCAAGAGCTAAAAAATTCAGTCCAAGAAGAACAACTCGAACCTGTTCAGTGCCTTTGCTATGTGCTGATCTGTCACTACTCCTGTAAGATCCATAGTGATGCTGTAATGTGTCTGGACCAGATACAGTCCTAGCAGAAAATGGTTTGGCAGCACCGAGATCAACAGAGCTACAATGGAGCGACCAAAGACCCGCTGCACTGAAGGTCCAGCTCAGGAGGCTAATTACTTTGTAAGAGAACTATAATTTACTGACAGTGATGTTAGTTTTGCACAAAACACATTTAGTTGCTGTTTAATTTGGTTTAATGTAAGTAAATTGAACTCATCAACAGTAAGAATGTTCAAGCCTTATGTTAATTTGAATATACTAGCCCAGCAGGAAAGGAGGAGATCCTGCCATCTCACCATAACTGATTATATGCAGTAGCTGAGAAAATGAAATTGTTATGATTTATAGACTTAAGTGAATGAAGCTGTGCTGATTTACATCTGCAGGGAACCTAGCCACTGTCCATTCCTGCACCTTTGCCTGTCCTCATTGTCAAAGAAGCTTTCCAGAACTACGGTCACTTTGATTTTTATAATAACCAAGGATAATCCAATCCCAGCAATAACTTATTCAATAACCTGATGTATATATGAGGTGTAAACCCAGAATTATTTCCAATTTCAGGTTTTGGTTGTACAAACTGAATGGTCAATACTTTTACAGAAAAGTATTGATAAAATAAGATGCTCCCTTCATGACATTTAGTACTAACACTGAAGGTTTCTAATGTTGCTGGTTAAACAAAACTCACAGAAAATCTGATCAATATATTTTCGGAACATGGGCTGTCATTCTCTATCAATCAGGGCAACAGCCAAGCCTTTGACTGAAGCTCTAGTTGAGGTATTAGAAGCTGGACTTGCTATAGCTACTGGAAGAACTATAAAGCCATTGGAAGCTACTTCAGGATAGCACTTCTAATGTGATGCTAGAAGGCTGGAAAAGGAACATTTGCTTTACTCCTGTTGGCCCAGGATTTTTAAAACAACCTCTGACTTTTTACAAAGAATGTACATCTGACAACTGAGGGAAGTAAAACAACTCACAGACTCTGCTAATTAAAACAGCATTGAAAATGAATCTAGTAAACCCCATCCTAGTATAATTTATTTAAAACCCAAAATTTTCACAGCAAGTCAGAACTTGCCTTGTAGGACTATGTAAGGTGCATTAACAGATTGCATTTAAATTCCTGGATACACTGAAATGTTCTGAAAATTCATGTCATCTGTCATGAAATCTCAGGCGCTTAATCTTCCCTGAGCTGTTGCCAGTAACTCCACTGAGCAATTGTTTGCATTGTATC